GAGGGGTCCTTCTTGCAACTACTTTGAACATCCCAAGAAAAACCTCATCCAAGATCACGAGAGAAGAGAGAATCTCTTAGCCTGGATCCTATTGCCCTGATAAAAAGCTCTCTGAACATCCACCTTCCCCTCTCCTCATCCATAAATAAAATTATCCTTCACCAGCCAGATCAGGGAACCAAGCAAGTCACAGGATGGATTTCCTAAAGAAGGTTAGGGGAGCTTGAAGTCTGCAACCCTCTGTCGAAGGCTCCCAGCCTATCAGATGCTCTGAGTAGAACCTTCCCTTGTGCCTGGGCTCTCCCAGGCTGTCGGCTTCTTTAGCAAGCCATCACTGGGCCAAACCTCCTGTTCATGTGCCCACCTCCACCCTGATGCTAAGAAAACTGAGCCTCTCCAGCCAGTCCTCCATATCTGCTCAACTTCAGTACTGCCTTTGGGTCAACTGCTTACTTGCTTTTTGTTTCTAATTGAGCTCCTCATTCTGCTGCAGAAATATATTAAAGGCAGCTGGCTTTGATGCCCAGAAAAAAATGATCAGCATCAGAAAGGTTTGTCGGGCATGATGGCAATTCCATTCTTCTTCATGTTATTCTAGCAGCCAAGCCCCTCTGCCAACCCACCCCTGGCGGACATTCACTGGTCCTTCGCCTGCCTCCCCTAAGTTGTGTTTGCCACTTCGGGTTTTTAAAAACACATTCTCCCAATTCCCCCCCCCCCTTTAATTAGAGACTGAACAGAATGTTAGAGATTTTCTTAATGGCTTGACAAAGGCTTTTAATTTGGTCTTCTCCAGAGAGAAGAACCACGAGTCCCCATCCGAGAGGTTGGGGTGGGAAATGAAAAAAATCAATGCAACCCATTATTTTGGCTTTTAGAAAACAGGAATTTTAGTGCCGGGGAAGCTTGTTCTTTTACACAGTAAAAATGCAAATGCAGGCAACACAGATGCTGGCACGCTGGATGTAACAACGGAGAGAGCCTCGCTGGGGTTCATCTGGCTGCCCAAACCTGGGTTTGTTTTGGCAATAATAAGGCAGTTATTGGAGACTCGATAACCGATTATTAAAAAAAAAACCAAAAAACAAAAAAACACCTTCCTGGTTTAGTTCTGGGAAATCAGACTGAGCTCAGGCTTCATTTTAAAAAAAAAAGGTATTTTGAGAGGAATGGAAATAACAGAAGCTTAAAACACATTCAATAACTGCTTAATTCCATCCAGAGGACGCTCCATCTCATCCTGTTTTCTTCTCTCTCTCTCTCCCTGCCTCCTCCCTCTCCTCACAGATGGACGTACAAATTATTGCAAGAGGATATTGTTTTCTGTAACAGGCTCGAACATTCACATTTACATTTTCCTTGGTGCCGCGGGGGGTGACTGGCAACGGGAGAGAAAATACACCAAACCCCATCTTTCTTGCTTTCCCCACATCACATATTCCCCAAGCCTCCTCTACCACCCACCTACCATGCCAGCCCATGCGGAACAGGCCCTGGGGACCAGCCTGGCACCTAAGACCCAATTAAGGCACCAAGAAAAAGAAAGGCCTCTCTGGCGAGGCGCCCTGGCACCCAACACAGACGCTGGAGCCTCTGAATCTCAGGGGCACCAGGGTTCCCCAGACCCAAAGGCCACCCAGGGCCACCTGCCTTCCCACATGCCCACCTCCAGTGGCAACTTCCTTCTCTAGTGCAAAAGGATTCTGCCCCATGGCTGGCTGTCCTGTGGCCTTCTGGGCCTTTCTCCACCCCACCTCTATCTGTTCCATCCCTATCAAATAACTTGAGCTTCATTTATTAATGATGGGCTCCGGGATGGAGGACAGCACCCTTCAGGTATTTGTTGAATGAAGGGACTCTACTGCTGAGGAGCCCCTGTTCTAGAAGAAGTGGGGGTAGGGATTGGGGGCAAGATTGTGGCAACAGCTCTGGCTTGTGCTTTCTCCCTGACAAAATGGGAAAGGGGGAGGGGTAGGGAGAGAGCTATGGAGAGAGAAAGCCGCTCCTCACCTTATGTATTTTTAATATTAATGTAATTAAAGCTGTGAG